GCCGGAGAATACAGCGGTGTGGCCCCTGAAGTATCAGCCATCCGGCATCATTCTATTGGTGAAGAAGAGTGAACGCTGCAATACCTGGTGGGCAACCTGAGCTCAGCTTCACCAAGAGCCGGCGCCATCCACCTTGTAGCCTGGTGCCCCTAGGCCTGGCTCTGCACACTACATCCATCTAGGGGGCACAGGAACCCCCCACCGGCCCTGTAGGACACTATGAGCACACACCAGCAGACCCTCACAGACACAATCTCTTTGTGTCTCCAGCAGCCTCCGTCCTCCTTCCTCCCACTTGCCCCCCCCCCCCCCCCCCCCCCCCGTGCTGAGGATGCCGGGAGACGTTTGCTAGAAGTGTGTAGGCGACAAGACTCTATAAATAGCCGCGTCTCTCAGTCTGATCATTGCACCAATCTCTGTCCTCCGCAATCCATCAACCGCGATGCCGGGCTGCGGCGTGTACACCCCAAACACGCAGAACCCATGCATCCTTCACCAATAAACTGCTGTGTACCATCCATGTACCCACTATGTACCATCCATGTACCATCCATGTACCCACTATGTACCATCCATGTACCCACACCATATGTACCATCCATGTACCCACTATGTACCATCTATGTACCATCCATGTACCATGTCCATGTACCATCCATGTACCATATGTACCATCCATGTACCATCCATGTACCATCCATGTACCCACTATGTACCCACTATGTACCATCCATGTACCATCCATGTACCCACTATGTACCATCCATGTACCCACTATGTACCATCCATGTACCCACTATGTACCATCTATGTACCATCCATGTACCATCCATGTACCCACTATGTACCATATGTACCATCCATGTACCATCCATGTACCCACTATGTACCATCCATGTACCCACTATGTACCATCCATCCATGTACCCACTATGTACCATCCATGTACCATCTATGTACCATGTACCCACTATGTACCATCCATGTACCCACTATGTACCATCCATGTACCATGTACCCATGTATCCACTATGTACCATTCATGTACCATCCATGTACCCACTATGTACCATCCATGTACCCACTATGTACCATCCATGTACCATCCATGTACCCACTATGTACCATCCATGTACCCACTATGTACCATCCATGTACCATCCATGTACCCACTATGTACCCACCATGTACCATCCATGTGCCCACTATGTACCATCCTTGTACCCACTATGTACCATCCATGTACCCACTATGTACCATCCATGTACCCACTATGCTCCATCTATGTACCATCCATGTACCCATCTATGTACCCACTATGTACCAACTACGTACCCACTATGTACCCACTATATAACCACTATGTACCATCCATGTACCCACTATGTACCATCCATGTACCCACTATGCTCCATCTACCATCCATGTACCCACTATATACCCACTATGTACCAACTACGTACCCACTATGTACCCACTATATAACCTCTATGTACCATCCATGTACCCACTATATACCATCCATGTACCCACTATGCTCCATCTATGTACCATCCATGAACCCACTATGCTCCATCTACTGTGTGTACCATCCATGTACAATCTATGTACCCACTATGCTCCATCTATGTACCATCTACTATATGTACCATCTATGCACCATCTTTGTGCCACCTATGTGCAATCTGTGTACCAGCCATGTACAATCTTTGTGATATATATGTACCCTCTATGTAGCATCTTTGCACCTTTTATGTACCATCTGTGTACCCTTTATATATAATCGTTGTGCCTTCTATGTACTTTCTTTGTGACATCTATGTACCTTTGATCTATCATCTTTGTACTGTCTTTGTGTCATCTATATAACATCTACAGTATGTACCACCCATGTACCCTCTATGTACCAACTTTGTTCCATCTATGTACCATCTTTGCACCTTCTATGTTCCATTTATGTACCATCCAATCACCCTCTATGTACCATCCATGTACCTTGTTTGTATAAAATCTGCACCATCTATGTACCCTCTATGTACCATCTACAGTATGTACCCTCTATCATCTTTGCACCCTCTATATATCAACTTTGTGCCTTCTCTGCACCACCTATGTACCATCTTTAGCCCATATATCTACCATTTTTGTACCCCCATGTACCATTTTTATGACAGCTGTGTACCCTCTATAAACCCTCCATGTACCACCTATGTACCATCTTTGTGACATCTGTGTCCCCTTTATAAACCCTCCATGTACCACACATGTACCATCTTTGTTCCATCTATGTAAGGTCTTTGGACCACCTATGACCATCTTTGAACCATATTTGGACCCTCTATGCACTATCTTTGTACTTTCCCAGTTCAACAACCCGATACTAATCACCATAAAGGATATCTACTTCACCTGTCATATCCGGAGGAGCCAGAAAGGACTTTGTCTGTGAAATGTACTGATCTGTCAATGTGTGTGTGACATCTGATGGTGGTTGTATGACAGATGTGATCCATGGAGGAGGAACTGGATGGGGCGGAGTCTTCATTCATCCCTATCTACCCCATACATGTGTCCTATCAATGTAACGATTTGTGTATAATGTATGAAATGGAACCAATACCTGTCTGATTATCTCTCCGTGTACATGTGTATCCAACATATATCATATGAATAATTCTGTATACCTCCATGTCCCCTTGTATACAATTTGTATCCCTCCATGTATATATTGATTATAATCTGTATCCCTCCATGTATACATTGTATACAATCTCCCCCCCATGTATACATTGTATATAATCTCCCCCCCATGTATACATTGTATATAATCTGTATCCCTCCATGTATATAATTTGTATCCCTCCATGATACACAGTATATATTCTGTATCCCCCATTTATCCATGTATACAATCCCCCCCCCATGTATACATTTTATATAATCTGTATCCCTCCATGTATATAATCTCCCCCCATGTAAACATTGTATATAATCCCCCCCCCATGTATACATTGTATATAATCTGTATCCCCCCATGTACACATTGTATATAATCTCCCCCCCCATGTATACATTGTATATAATCCCCCCCATGTATACATTGTATATAATCTGCCCCCTCCCATGTATACATTGTATATAATCTCCCCCCATGTATACATTGTATATAATCTCCCCCCCATGTATACATTGTATATAATCCCCCCATGTATACATTGTATATAATCTGCCCCCCTCCCATGTATACATTGTATATAATCTCCCCCCCATGTATACATTGTATATAATCCCCCCCATGTATACATTGTATATAATCCCCCCCATGTATACAACCTGTATCCCCTGATATATATAATCTGTATCCCCCCATGTAAATATTGTATATAATCCCCCCCCATGTATACATTGTATATAATCTGCCCCCCCCATGTATACATTGTATATAATCTGCCCCCCCATGTATACATTGTATATAATCTCCCCCCCCCCAATGTATACATTGTATATAATCTGCCCCCCCATGTATACATTGTATATAATCCCCTCCCATGTATACATTGTATATAATCTCCCCCCCAATGTATACATTGTATATAATCTCCCCCCCATGTATACATTGTATATAATCTCCCCCCCCAATGTATACATTGTATATAATCTGTATCCCCCCCATGTATACATTGTATATAATCTCCCCCCCAATGTATACATTGTAATCTCCCCCCCATGTATACATTGTATATAATCTGTATCCCCCCCATGTATACATTGTATATAATCCCCCCATGTATACCCCCACCATATGTATACATTGTATATAATCTCCCCCCCATGTATACATTGAATATAATCTCCCCCCCATGTATACATTGTATATAATCTCCCCCCAATGTATACATTGTATATAATCTCCCCCCCCCAATGTATACATTGTATATAATCTCCCCCCCCCCAATGTATACATTGTATATAATCTCCCCCCCAATGTATACATTGTATATAATCCCCCCCCCCAATGTATACATTGTATATAATCCCCCCCCATGTATACATTGTATATAATCTCCCCCCCCCAATGTATACATTGTATATAATCTCCCCCCCCCCCAATGTATACATTGTATATAATCTCCCCCCCATGTATACATTGTATATAATCTCCCCCCCAATGTATACATTGTATATAATCTCCCCCCCATGTATACATTGTATATAATCTCCCCCCCCCCATGTATACATTGTATATAATCCCCCCCCCCCCATGTATACATTGTATATAATCTCCCCCCCATGTATACATTGTATATAATCTCCCCCCCATGTATACATTGTATATAATCTCCCCCCCATGTATACATTGTATATAATCTCCCCCCCATGTATACATTGTATATAATCTCCCCCCCCATGTATACATTGTATATAATCTCCCCCCCCCATGTATACATTGTATATAATCTGTATCTCCCCACCCCCCCCATGTATACATTGTATATAATCTCCCCCCCATGTATACATTATATATAATCTGTAACAATGTGGATCTCCATGTGTGTGGCAGGGTTTGGGCCCCATGCGATGCTCCGATGTTGCGGTAACACGTGGTTGCAGGTGACTCATGACGTCATCACCGCACAGATATGGGGGGGTGACCTCATAAACGGGGGGGGGGTGATGCCCTTTGCAGTCCTCGTTGCCTATAGGCAGATCCGGGTAGTGACGTCACCTCTCTTTGGGGTAAAAGCCGTGTGATTGGACGATCAGCCCCCAAACCCGGTCGGTCGGAGATCCGATCGCTCCGATCCCCCTCCTCCGCCGTAGGCGGGGCTCTGTCCGCGGTGCTGAATCGTCGTCACGTGACTGGTTGCCAGCTCGGGGGGGCTCCGATCACCGGGGCGGGGAGGGGGGAGGAGCCGATCGGTGGTGACCGGTGGGCGGAGGAGCGCCGTTGTCGGGTGTACCCGGTCGGTGGGGGGCGGGGGCGGACGGGGCCACACACGATGCAGCGGCTCCGGTTGAACGAAGCTCACGCCGTGTACCTGGGGCAGCTGGCCCGGAAGGACGGGGCCCGGCGGGGGTGTGCTCAGTAAGCGGAGCTCCGATAACAGCCGCTGGCAGAGCCGCAGCTTCTCCCTCCTCCACAACCTGCTCTTCTGCTTCGAGTCCGAGACCTCCGGCCGGCCCTGTGCGCTCTACCTGCTGGAGGGCTGTACGTGCGAGCGGGGGGCCAAGGGGGGCCCCGACCGGCAGGTGAGATGTGGGGGGGCCTACATACAGGGGGGACAAGGGGGGCCCCGACCGGCAGGTGAGATGTGGGGGGGACCTATATACAGGGGGGACAAGGGGGGCCCCGACCGGCAGGTGAGATGTGGGGGGGCCTATATACAGGGGGGACAAGGGGGGCCCCGACCGCAGGTGAGATGTGGGGGGGCCTACATACAGGGGGGGGCCCCCGACAGGCAGGTGAGATGTGGGGGGCCTATATATACAGGGGGGACAAGGGGGGCCCCCGACCGGCAGGTGAGAGTGGGGGGGCCTACATACAGGGGGGGGCCCCGACAGGCAGGTGAGATGTGGGGGGGCCTATATACAGGGGGGGCCGAGCCGACCGGCAGGTGAGATGTGGGGGGCCTATATACAGGGGGGGCCCCGACCGGCAGGTGAGATGTGGGGGGGCCTATATACAGGGGGGGGGCCCCGACAGGCAGGTGAGATGTGGGGGGCCTATATACAGGGGGGACAGGGGGGGCCCCGACCAGCAGGTGAGATGTGGGGGGCCTATATACAGGGGGGGCCCCGACCGGCAGGTGAGATGTGGGGGGCCTATATACAGGGGGGACAAGGGGGGCCCCCGACCGGCAGGTGAGATGTGGGGGGCCTATATACAGGGGGGACAAGGGGGGCCCCGACCGGCAGGTGAGATGGGGGGGGCCTACATACAGGGGGGGGGCCCCCGACAGGCAGGTGAGATGTGGGGGGGCCTATATACAGGGGGGACAAGGGGGGCCCCGACCGGCAGTGTGAGATGTGGGGGGGTGCCTACATACAGGGGGGGGCCCCGACAGGCAGGTGAGATGTGGGGGGCCTATATACAGGGGGGGCCCAAGGGGGGCCCCGACCGGCAGGTGAGATGTGGGGGGGCCTACATACAGGGGGGGGCCCCGACCGGCAGGTGAGATGTGGGGGGCCTATATACAGGGGGGGCCCCGACCGGCAGGTGAGATGTGGGGGTGGTGGGCAAGGGGGGGGGCCCCGACCGGCAGGTGAGATGTGGGGGGCCTATATACAGGGGGGGCCCTCCACCCGACCGCAGGTGAGATGTGGGGGGGCCTACATACAGGGGGGGGCCCCGACAGGCAGGTGAGATGTGGGGGGGCCTATATACAGGGGGGGGCCCCGACCGGCAGGTGAGATGTGGGGGGGCCTATATACAGGGGGGGGCCCCGACCGGGCAGGTGAGATGTGGGGGGGCCTATATACAGGGGGGGGCCCCGACCGGCAGGTGAGATGTGGGGGGGCCTATATACAGGGGGGGGGGGGCCCCGACCGGCAGGTGAGATGTGGGGGGGCCTATATACAGGGGGGGCCCCGACAGGCAGGTGAGATGTGGGGGGGGCCTATATACAGGGGGGGGGGGGCCCCGACAGGCAGGTGAGATGTGGGGGGGCCTATATACAGGGGGGGGCCCCGACAGGCAGGTGAGATGTGGGGGGGCCTATATACAGGGGGGACAAGGGGGGCCCCGACCGGCAGGTGAGATGTGGGGGGCCTATATACAGGGGGGGGCCCCGACAGGCAGGTGAGATGTGGGGGGGCCTATATACAGGGGGGGGGCCCAACCGGCAGGTGAGATGTGGGGGGCCTATATACAGGGGGGGCCCCGACCGGCAGGTGAGATGTGGGGGGCCTATATACAGGGGGGACAAGGGGGGCCCCGACCGGCAGGTGAGATGTGGGGGGCCTATATACAGGGGGGACAAGGGGGGGCCCCGACCGGCAGGTGAGATGTGGGGGGCCTATATACAGGGGACAAAGGGGGGCCCTGACCGGCAGGTGAGAGATGTGGGGGGCCTATATACAGTGGGACAAGGGCGGCCCCGACCGGCAGGTGAGAGATGTGGGGGGGCCTATATGCAGGGGGGCCCGACTGGCAGGTGAGATGTGGGGGGGCCTATATACAGGTGTGGGGGGGCTATATACAGGGGGGACAAGGGGGGCCCCGACCGGCAGGTCAGAGATGTGGGGGGCCCCGACTGGCAGGTGAGATGTGGGGGGCCTATATACAGGGGGGACAAGGGGGGCCCCGACCGGCAGGTGAGAGATGTGAGGGGCCCCGACCGGCAGGTGAGATGTGGGGGGCCTATATCCAGGGGGGACAAGGGCGTCCCCGACCGGCAGGTGAGAGATGTGGGGGGGGGCTTTATATACAGGGGGACAAGGGAGGCCCGACCGGCAGGTGAGAGATATGGGGGGCCAAGGGGAGCCCTGACCGGCAGGTGAGAGATGTGGGGGCCCTATATACAGGGGGGACAAGGGGGGCCCCGACCGGCAGGTGAGAGATGTGGGGGGGCCTATATACAGTGGGACAAGGGGGGCCCCGACCGGCAGGTGAGAGATGTGGGGGGGCCTATATATAGGGGGGACAATGGGGGGCCCCGATCAGGAGCTGAGAGATATGGGGGCCCTATATACGGGGGGGACAAGGGGGGCCTCGACCGGCAGGTGAGATGAGGGGGGACCTATATACGGGGGTGAAAAGGGGAGCCCCGACCTGCAGGTTAGAGATGTGGGGGGTCCTATATACAGGGGGGACAAGGGGGGCCCCGACGGCAGGTCAGAGATGTGGGGGGCCCCGACTGGCAGGTGAGATGAGGGGGGACCTATATACGGGGGTGAAAAGGGGAGCCCCGACCTGCAGGTTAGAGATGTGGGGGGTCCTATATACAGGGGGGACAAGGGGGGCCCCGACCGTCAGGTGAGAGATGTGGGGGGGCCTATATACAGGGGGGGGGGCCCGACCGGCAGGTGAGAGAAGTGGGGGGGCCCTATATACAGGGCAGACAAGGGGGGCCCCGACGGCAGGTGAGAGATGTGGGGGGCCTATATACAGGGGGGACAAGGGGGACCCCGACCGGCGGTTGAGAGATGTGGGGGGGCCTATTTACAGGGGGGGCCCCGACCGGCAGGTATGAGATGGGGGGCCTATATACAAGGGGGCCAAGGGGGGCTCCGACCGGCAGGTGAGAGATGGGGGGGCCAAGGGGAGCCTGACCGGCAGGTGAGATGTGGGGGCCCTATATACAGCGGGGACAAGGGGGGGGCCTCGACCAGCAGGTGAGATGTGGGGGGGCTTTATATACAGGGGGACAAGGGGGTCCTGACCGGCAGGTGAGAGATATGGGGGGCCCTATATACAGGGGGGACAAGGGGGGGCCCCGACCGGCAGGTGAGAGATATGGGGGTCCTATATACAGGGGGGCCAAAGGGGGCTCGACCGGCAGGTGAGAGATATGGGGGGCCAAGGGGAGCCCTGACCGGCAGGTGAGAGATATGGGGGGCCAAGGGGAGCCCTGACCGGCAGGTGAGAGATGTGGGGGCCCTGTATACAAGGGGGTCCCGACCGGCAGGTGAGAGATATGGGGGGCCCTATATACAGGGGGAACAAGGGGGGGCCCCGACCGGCAGGTGAGAGATATGGGGATCCTATATACAGGGTGGCCAAAGGGGGCCCGACCGGCAGGTGAGAGATATGGGGGGCCCTATACACAGAGGTGACAAGGGGGGGCCCCGACTGGCAGGTGAGAGATGTGGGGGGCCCTATATGCAGGGTGGACAAGGGGGGGCCGACCGGCAGGTGAGAGATGTGGGGGCCCTTTATACAGGGGGGGAAAAGGGGGGGCCTCAACCGGCAGGTGTGAGATGTGGGGGATCCTATATACAGGGCGGGACAAGGGAGACCTGCAACCGGCAGGTGAGAGATATGGGGGGGGACAAGGGGACCCCGACTTGCTGATGAGATATGGGGGGCCCTATATACAGGGGGGACAAGGGGGGTCCTGACCGGCAGGTGAGATGTGGGGGGCCCTATATACAGGGGGAGCCTCGACCAGCAGGTGAGTGATATGTGGGGCCCTCTACACAGGGGGGACAAGGGGGCCTCCACTGGCAGATGAGAGATATGGGTGGCCCTATATACAGGGGGGACAAGGGGTGCCCCGACCGGCAGGTGAGAGATATGGGGGGCCCTATACACAGGGGTGACAAGGGGGGCCCGACCGGCAGGTGAGAGATGTGGGGGGCCCTATATACAGGGGGGAAAGGGGGGCCTCAACCGGCAGGTGTGAGATGTGGGGGATCCTATATACAGGGCGGGACAAGGGAGACCTGCAACCGGCAGGTGAGAGATATGGGGGGGGGGGGGGGGGGGGACCCCGACCGGTAGGTGAGAGATATGGGGGGACAAGGGGACCCCGACTTGCAGGTGAGATGTGAGAGATATGGGGGGGGCCCTATATACAGTGGGCCAAGGGAGGCCCGACCGGCAGGTGAGAGATATAGGGGGAATTATATCCAGGGGGGGCTCCAACCGGCAGGTGAAAGGTATGGGGGGCTCTATATACAGGGTGATCAAGGGAGGCCCCGACCGGCAGGTGTGAGATATGGGGGGGCCCCTATATACAGGGGGGCCAAGGCAGGCCCGACCAGCAGGTGGGAGATATGGGGGGCCCTATATAAAGGGGGGGGACAACAGGGGCCCTGACCGACAGATGAGAGATATGGGGGCCCTATATACAGGGGGGCCAAAGGGGGCCCTGACCGGCAGGTGAGAGATATGGGGGGCCCTATATACAGGGGGCCAAGGGGACCCCGACTTGCAGATGAGATGTGGGAGGCCCTATATACAGGGGAGCCTCGACCAGCAGGTGAGTGATATGTGGGGCCCTCTATACAGTGGGGACAAGGGGGGCCTCGACCGGCAGATGAGAGATATGGGGGGCCTATATACAGCAGGGACAAGGGGTGCCCTGACCGTCAGGTGAGAGATGTGGGGGGCCCTATATACAGGGGGGATATGGGGGGCCCCCACTTGCAGGTGAGAGATATGGGGGGCCCCCACTTGCAGGTGAGAGATATGGGGAGGCCCGACCGTCAGGTGATAGATATGGGGGGGGCCCTATATACAGGGGGCCAAGGGAGGCCCCGACCGGCAGGTGAGCTCTATATACATGGGGGCCAAGAGAGGCCCCGAC